TGTGGTTTCTGAAGTTTGATGATGCTTACACAGTTCTAGAAGAACATTTGTTAGATAGGATGAGCTATAAAAAATAACTTATTTCTTTAAAGTTGGTCCTATGTTTGTGTATGGCTATTCGTAGCCTAGGTTTAGGAAAAATAAGTATTTTGCATTTCTGAGAAAAACTAATAAATTCTTTAAAATAATTAAGAAAATAAGTATTAGAATAAAAATATGCTGAATAAATAAAAAATAGATTTATGTTGGGAATTTGTAATGTAGTGAAGAACAAAGATCGAACACACAAACCAAGACCATTTTAAAATATAAATATCACCTTCCTCTCCTTTTGAAAAAACAAAAACAAACAAAAAAGATAAAACTGATAGTACAACCTTTCACTTGCAGCATACAGATGCTTCATTTAGTTTTAGTCCACAGCTTATTTAAGCATCGTATCTTTTCAAATAACACCTGTTGACAGAACAGAGTCTTCTTCTGTTTTTGATGTGTTAGTGTCTTTGGAAAAGTCTAATGATTCCAGAGTCATGCAGTTTCTTCCAAGTCTTTATCTCCAGGCCATAGTCATGGTTAATAAAGAAAATTACACTGGTTTTTTTTAACGTTTCATAATAATAGTTGGAGTACTTATGGTGGTCTTCTGTAATAAATCCATAGGCGTCCACCTGATATTGAGCAATAAAGCATTTAAGTAATATTCATAAGGTATTAGTAATACTGTATATGTCCAATACGATTATAACAGAAAATAGTATTTTAGAGTACTTCCAGTGTTAAATAGCTACAAACAACTTGATGAATAAGCTGAACGAATAGAAAATAACTACTGCGTTTACTTACAATATCACATGTGTGAAGAGCCAAGAACAAAGCAAACGCTCCATTGGTCGGTCTGTACATTGCCCAGTGAATGCCCTGCATTTGTTTGGATGGCATGAATCTGTTTTTTAAAAAACAGGGGTCATTGAAAAGAGATAGATCACACTTAGATTGTTGTAGATTACTGTAACATAAATGTTACCTGTTGCGAATGTATCGAAGAAAGTCAGGGTGAAGAACATAGAATCTACTCTCGTTAAATTTCCCTTCGAAATATTTCAGTGGCCTATGCAAGAATAAATGCAAATGTTTTTTTTAAACAAATCAATTAACATAGTAATACATTTTCACCCCTTATCATGCTGAGGTGGAGCCACTGTTGCAATGCTATTATGGCATGGTTTGCGAGAACTAGAGCTGGATACTGTACCTCACACCCTTGAATGACCCATTGGTTGCTTTTCCCTGCAAAAGGCCTTGGATCCACTCAAAGTCCCTCAGGCCTTCAGGGATCATTACATATTTGATGCCCTATTAAAAAGATTTACAATTTTTTTTATCAAATAAATGCAACCTTGGTGAGCATAAGAGACTTCTTTTAAAAACACGAAAAAAATCTTAACCTCAAACTGTTGAACGGTAGTGTACATTGTGTAGTGTATTTATACAAATAATTCTCAATGAAGAACACAGCAGCACAAGCAAGCAGTACTGAATATTAGCTTTTTAAGACAGAGTCCAGAGTAGAATATACTGACCTCATCTTGTGGAATACTGTTAAAGCCGTACTTTTTTAACATCAGAATGTTGGCATATAAGGAAAAAGCTGTATGTACATAAACTGATGTTCTATTTCCAACATCCTCCTCGTAACCTTGAGTAACAGCCCCATTTACTCTGTTTCAGAACACACATAGTAAAGACCTCAGTAAAGCAATCTGTTATCGGCACGCATTATCATTAACATAACTCTTTCATTCAGTTGTCAACTCTCCCTAGCCATTTTTTACTAAGCTAAGTGATTTTATTATAAAACTTTTACATGTTTTAACTCTTACCGAAAAACATAATCATGGGAGTCTATCTCTTTGCCCATCTTTGAGTTATTGAGAATGCCACCAGAGCCCACAACAGCACAGCGGATACAGTCATCCTTTGAACTTTCAGGCACAGGCAGTAATCCTGATGACTTAGGCTTTGGTATCAAATCCACTGCTCTTTTTACCTCTTCAGTGAAAGAAAAAAAACTGCAGTTTATGAAACGTAAAGTGCATAGTGGGGACAGTAGGTCATCTAAAGGAATAGTTGACCCAAAAA